AGTATATTTAAAGTGTTTGTAACCCGGTGTTGACATTTTCCCGCGTTACAAGTACAATTGATGTTTCTCACTCAATTTGAGTTTGTCTCTCATTGTTGTGTCCAGAGGGAGCTTGACTACAGTAGTCTTACTTTAACCATCCATTGTGTTATTTTTCTGATTGAAAGTTAGAAATTGCTATTGAGATCATTTATATATATATCAATGTATGGCCTATACGCTTTGAATTCAATTCTCACATGTATTCTTCTCATGGGAGTTTATTATGATTCATGAATAGATTCAACGTATGGCAAAGTCATTTTCCTTGTACTCGACTTGTCCGTTTCCAAGCGAACAATATATTTGATTCAATCTCAATTTCCAATAAGCTGGATTTACTTTGCTGTTGTCTAACCCAGTAAAAAAAAAGTATAGACAGTAAGGAAAAAGTATAGACTCATAGCTTAGTGGCTATACCGTTCGGCATGTAATGACGGTATAGAGACGTTACGGTGTATACTTTTTTCTTACCGTGAATACGGTTCACCTGGATTTTTTGAATTGATGTGTATTAACGCGATTTGACATTGTCAATGAAAAAGCCGATTGTTTTGAAGTGTAATAATGCCGATTACGAGGAGGAGCGACGAAATTTTATCTAAAAGTTAAAAAGGTAAATGTGACAGGCACGAGACCTGCGAGAGTTGTTACCACTGGATTGAGGAAATGCATCATTACTGACAAAAAGTATTCGACAGAAACTTACCGACAGAAAGTTACTAGGAAGAGCGGCAAATTCAAATGGTCAAATTAAATTCGAATGAATATATACATAATTTAATGTAGTTTTTTTATTTTAAATCAAGTATAGTATTTTAAATAATTAAATACCGATATTAAATAATTAATGTTTACTATAAAAATTGACATATAGACATGAAAATTTTTTCATTTTTAGCATTTAAATCTGTGAAATAATGAAATATTGTAATTTTATTTTTTAATTTCATAAAATTTTTATTTTTTATTAATTATTAATAATTAAATTTTTTTCATAAAAATAAAAATGTACTGCAAAGAATATGTTTTATGCATTGAAAAATAAAAATTTGTTAAAATATATTATTTCTATATTTTGTAAATAAAGTTATTTATTAAAATAATTTTTTTATTTATAAAATTGAAATAGATTAAAAAATTAATGTTTTAAATTAAAAATTTTTTATTTGAATTAATATATGTAATTAACTATTATGAAAATTAATTAGTCGTTAAATTTTTTTTTTTTAATAATAACTAATCTTTTTTTACCTATAAACAAATTTAATTTTATTTTGAACAAAATTATATTTTTAATGATAAAAACTTTGTTATTTTACATAGAGACGAATAATATTATACTTTTTTTATTTGTGAGTGAGAAGTGACCAAAACCAAATAATTGTAAATCATCGTAAAAATATTTTAAAAGGGATAGAAACAAATAATACATTTTAAAATTATACAACACAAGAATACTCGCAAATCGCATATACGCGTATGAAACAAATTATAAGCATTAAAAATTATTGTAGGATAAAAGAATGCGTTTAAATATAAAAGAAATTCACAAATAAAAAAATATCGTTTAAGAGTGTCGAACGGTCTCTGAAATTCTTTGGCATTCAATAATCGCCCTATAAAAACGGCACTGAACGTGAAAATGATAAACATTGAGTTTAACCCTTTCAGGGGCACATTATTCTAAGCATACAAATTTTTGTTTCATTACGTATTTATACGTTTTTTGGGTCGCTGAATACAAATCCGAGGTCAGATTTTGCAAATTTTAAAAATTCAAAATGGCGAATCCAATATGGCGGACATTTTTTTTTTAAATTCAATATATTCGCCATATTGGATCCGCCATTTTGAATTTTAAAAAACTGACATCTGATTCGTAATCAGCAACCCCGAAAACCCCCGAGTAACGAGTTTCATACAAATTGCATTATATTTTTAAAAAGTCGTCCGCCATATTGGATCCGCCATTTTGAATTTTGAAAAACTGACCTCAGATTCGTAATCAGGGACCCCAAAAACCCCCGAGTAAAGATTTTCAAAGTCGTAGCACTTCGCGTTTACAAATAGCTGAATTAATTATTAAAAAAATGCATATTTTTCAGATTGATGGAATAATATTAAGTTAACAATAATAAATTATTCATAAACAATATTATAGATTCGTTATATTATATCCTTAGAATCTAAAAATAAGAAATATATGATTATTATTAGATAAATATGCCGGAAATACCAAAAAAACAACAACAAAAAAGGTGGGACGTATACGTCCCACTGCCCCTGAAAGGGTTAAAATACTTTTTTCTCAAAACGCGGACACTTTTTTCAAAATCGGAAAAAATACCAAGGATCCTTATCTTATAAATTTCTTAAATCCGAAAGATTGTGTAAATCTATACAAAAATGCGATTGTAAAACGAAAAGTACGAAAGTAATATAATGACAGCTGCGACATTGTGCTCCCTGCATGCTTCTGCCACCTAACGGCTGCAGGACGTAATAAACCTAAAATTATATTACTTTCGTACTTTTCGTTTTACAATCGCATTTGCGAGTATTCTTGTGTTGTATAATTTTAAAATGTATTGTTTTGTTTCTATCCCTTTTAAAATATTTTTACGATGATTTACAATTATTTGGTTTTGGTCACTTCTCACTCACAAATAAAAAAAGTATAATATTATTCGTCTCTATGTAAAATAACAAAGTTTTTATCATTAAAAATATAATTTTGTTCAAAATAAAATTAAATTTGTTTATAGGTAAAAAAAGATTAGTTATTATTAAAAAAAAAAAATTTAACGACTAATTAATTTTCATAATAGTTAATTACATATATTAATTCAAATAAAAAATTTTTAATTTAAAACATTAATTTTTTAATCTATTTCAATTTTATAAATAAAAAAATTATTTTAATAAATAACTTTATTTACAAAATATAGAAATAATATATTTTAACAAATTTTTATTTTTCAATGCATAAAACATATTCTTTGCAGTACATTTTTATTTTTATGAAAAAAATTTAATTATTAATAATTAATAAAAAATAAAAATTTTATGAAATTAAAAAATAAAATTACAATATTTCATTATTTCACAGATTTAAATGCTAAAAATGAAAAAATTTTCATGTCTATATGTCAATTTTTATAGTAAACATTAATTATTTAATATCGGTATTTAATTATTTAAAATACTATACTTGATTTAAAATAAAAAAACTACATTAAATTATGTATATATTCATTCGAATTTAATTTGACCATTTGAATTTGCCGCTCTTCCTAGTAACTTTCTGTCGGTAAGTTTCTGTCGAATACTTTTTGTCAGTAATGATGCATTTCCTCAATCCAGTGGTAACAACTCTCGCAGGTCTCGTGCCTGTCACATTTACCTTTTTAACTTTTAGATAAAATTTCGTCGCTCCTCCTCGTAATCGGCATTATTACACTTCAAAACAATCGGCTTTTTCATTGACAATGTCAAATCGCGTTAATACACATCAATTCAAAAAATCCAGGTGAACCGTATTCACGGTAAGAAAAAAGTATACACCGTAACGTCTCTATACCGTCATTACATGCCGAACGGTATAGCCACTAAGCTATGAGTCTATACTTTTTCCTTACTGTCTATACTTTTTTTTTACTGGGAACCTGTATTACCAGCAGTGTAGCATATAGTGTATTCTAGAACTTTTTCGTCTTCTAAGTTTATTGTTCTGACAGTTGGCTGTGCCTCAAGTCATTAAGAAGAAGAAGAAGAAGGAAAGTGGATTTTTTGAAGGGTCATTGACAAATATGACAATTCCGTTGGATCCTGTTGCTGTCTATTTCGTCAGTGCTTTTCATTTCAATTTCATGTGAAGAAGAAGAAATGAATTTTATAAGATATTAGTAATATTAGCATATCAGTAAATCTCATCGAACAAACATTTTATAGTTGACACATAAATACTCCTTCCAAACGTAAATATACATATTAATAAACTAAGGATTCCACTAAGAATTAAGCGGAAGTTTTTTCTTAGTTTTTTTAATTTTTCTTAGTTTAGAATAAAAATAAGATTTTTTGGTTATGTTGTCATTTTTTAATTTAAAATACATGAAGAGGATTTTATTTTTTAAAATCAAAAGTATATTTTTATGAATATTTAAGATTAATAAAGATGTCAATATCATTTGTTTGCACTGAAATGTAATCTTTTACATGTATTTTCAATTAAAAAATAACAAATTCATTTTTATTCAAAAACATTAAACGGACTTGCCCGGATGAAATTATACTTGAAATGAAAAGCACTGACGAAATAGACGGCAACAGGATCCAACGGAATTGTCATATTTGTGAATGACCCTTCAAAAAATCCACTTTCCACAAGTGGCACGAACTAACGAACTTGCCACAAGTTGGACGGACTTCGTGCCACTTGTGGTACGAAACACCGCCACTGCGTCCGAGACGCTCATGAGCCGTACAGGCTTCCGTAAGAAAGCATTCCAGATATATGTGACGGAGCATTTACACCTTTGGTAAAAAAATTTTTTATTTTTGAATTTTCCGAAATACACAAACCTGATTGGTTGTTCACAATCTGATTGATAATGGACAACCAATCAGATCTTTGCATTTCCGAAAATCAAAATAAAAAATTATTTTTACCAAAGGTGTAAATGCTCCATGACGCTCCACGAGAGAAGGGACCTATCCCCGAAATAACATTAGGCTCAGTTTTCCGTGCACCGTACATGAAAACTAAGCCTAATATTATTTCTGTGTGTCCCTCCAGGCCTCTGACGTCATATCTTGAACTCGAAATATCTCGATGAACTTAGTGGTGGCGCATAGAAGCTTCCGTACCTATAGGCGCTTCTGTGCAATACACAACCCAAACGAACCGCAAACTGATTGTGCGTCGGCCCTTTGATGGTTGATCATGTGATGAATGTTACTATGTACGGACCTTGGCAGACAAATGACAGGACCATGAATGAAGCTAGGAAAGAAATGTTAATGCAGAACCTTTTGTATTTTATTTTAACTATTTATTAACTTCTGCAGTTTGAATTGATCTCGTCAAGAGGCCATTTGAATAAAACAAACAATTAATCTCGTATTAAGATCTGAAAATGATACAATAAATTAAAATTTAAAGGAAGTCAGTGTTCTTTTCTATTGTTTTTGACTATCAAATCACCTTTTATTATGGCTGATTTTGATGCTATTTACGAAGAAGAGGAGGAAGTAAATGAACAAAATCTCGAGGATCACTATAATATTATGATACCGGATCCTATTGTAGTTCGAGGTGGAGGAAATATGACAGTGTAAGCTTTAAATTTTTTATTTTTCCATAAAAGTCTTAATTTTCTAGTTTCTAAGATACTGTCTCAGTTAATTGCATTCTTATGTGAAGTAGCAGAAAGGACACTGGATTCATTATCTCTTTTCTATTTCTTTAAATTTTTTCCTGACTAGAAAATCTGATGAGGAATTTGGATATTGTTTTTGGTCAATTTAGTTGATACCCTTCTTTGTCTCATAAAATTTAAGTGCGAGTAACTCGGAGTATTTTTTATATAAATAACATTTTTTGATTTAATCTAAATTTATGAATCAAAAATAATAAATGACAGCGTTTTGAAATTCAATTAATCTAATGACAGTGTAATAATTATATGAATTACAACCTGGTTGTTTTCTTATTCGGTTTCTTGTTTACACACAGATAACCAAACTCTTAACAAAAACAATGTTTACACATCAGTATTAAAATGATTGATTCCGATACAGTTAATTTAAGTGAAAATATATACTTTAAATGAATCATTTTATCTTAAATGGATTTTCCTTTTAATACTTATTTAAAAGGATTTCCTTTTATAATAAAAGGAAAGTCTTTTAAATTATATTCTTTAATATTATTAAAAGGATTCAGTTTACTGTTAAAAGGAAACATTTTCGAAACATAAATAAATAATTTTTTATTAATTATTTATTAGTATTATTAGTAGGGTCAGTTGGGGTAAATGGGGACAAAATCGCTATTTTTCACAAATTACATAAGTTTCTTCCTTTAAAAGGTAATATTTGCGGGTTTATTTTTTTAAGTTATTTACATTCCCAGGATTAATTTTATGCAGTAGAAAAAAATTTAGATAAGCTTTAAACGCATGAAACGGACTCCCCATTTACCCCAAAATTTAGAAAATTTCATAAAATTTGGGTAAATGGGGACAGCATAGTTTCTAAGAAAGTTTTAAGAAAAAAGTTTCCTGAAGTATAACCAATTAAAATTAATTAATATTTATTAATTTTAAATAAATTTAAATTGACTAATGACACGTATATTTTTTTATCGGCAATGGTGAACATTTAAGGGGTGAAAACCACCCCTTAGGTTTTTCGGAAATATAGAAATTTCACAATATAAAGAAAAATTCAATAAAAAAATTTTTTTTGCTCAATAATAATTTAGCACGAAAAATGGAATTAAACAGTAGCATTTTCACCACCAACCCCCATGAATTTAGGGGTAAACATACCCAAAAGTGAATTTTTGTTTAAAATTATATAATTGTAAAAAAAAATTGTAAAATATTAGCAAATGTAAAAAAAAATTTCCAGGGGGTAGATAGAAGTAAACAACCCCTTAAAGTATATTATTTCATATAAAAGACTTTATCAGCAAACAATTTTATTTCTTCTGCAAAAATCATCTACATAATAAGAGGGATACTTTCTTTTCATTTGGAAAATATTTTCTAGATTAGAATTTTATTTTCCGGGGGAAAAAACCCCTAAAAATTATTTTTCCGTTAAAATAATACTGTTTCACGATTTTAGCTGTATTTTTACATGAAAATTAAGAACGTTTGGGTCCTGAAAAACCATCGCAATAGTCTTCATATTTTTTTCGTAGGGTGGTTTGGGGTAAACAACCCCTAAAAACATATTAATTCAAATAAAATACTTCATCAAAAAAAAATTTATTTCTTCTGCAAAAATCAGCTTCAAAATAAGAAGGATACTTCCTTTTCATTTCAAATTTTTCTTTAATTTTTAGTGGGTAACTACCCCTAAAAATTAAATTTTCAGATTTAAAAATATTTTCAAAATGAAAAGAAAGTACCCTTATTTTATAGCTGATTTTTACAGAAGAAATAAATTTTTTCTGATAAAGAATTTTATTAGAATTAATATGTTTTTAGGGGTTATTTACACCAAACCACCCTACGAAAAAAATATGAAGACTATTGCGATGGTTTTTCAGGACCCAAACGTTCATAATTTTCATGTAAAAATACAGCTAAAATCGTGAAACAGTATTATTTTAACGGAAAAATAATTTTTAGGGGTTTTTTCCCCCGGAAAATAAAATTCTAGTCTAAAAAATATTTTCAAAATGAAAAGAAAGTATCCCACTTATTAAATAGATGATTTTTGCAGAAGAAATAAAATTGTTTGCTGATAAAGTCTTTTATATGAAATAATATACTTTAAGGGGTTGTTTACTTCTATCTACCCCCTGGACAAATTTTTTTTACATTTACTAATATTTTACAATTTTTTTTTACAATTATATAATTTTAAACAAAAATTCACTTTTGGGTATGTTTACCCCTAAATTCATGGGGGTTGGTGGTGAAAATGCTACTGTTTAATTCCATTTTTCGTGCTAAATTATTATTGAGCAAAAAATAGTATATTGTGCATCTAGGGAGGAAAATGGTTGATTTCCACGAGTGTAGTTTGCAGTTGGAGGCGTAGCGAGCGCACGAGCCGAAGTGCAAACTACACTTGTAGAAATCAACCATTTTCCTCCCGAGTTGCACATACTATTTTTTCTAACACACGTATACCGAAAGTACAAACGTGGTAGTGTGGATACTATTGATGATGGTATGGTTGTTACTGGTAGCAGTATAGTTACTACTGGTGGTGTACCATACGTTTGAGATTCACTATTGCTCATACTTTGATTAATATTTAATGCCTAATAATAACATCACCGGGAGGGAAAGTTACTTTTCCTCCCGCTCAGTGACGTCACCGGGAGGGAATGTAACTTTCCCTCCCGCTAGTCGGAAAATTCGTGTTGATTAGTTTTTCGAGTACTACAACATATATAAAGTTGAACGAAAACGGAGGGGGACACCTACTTTTAAAAAATGTTAACAAAAAAATTAGTTTTTATTAAATATATTGGATGTGATGAAGACTTAAATATAAATTATTTCTATTGAAAGTTGATTCTCTTTGTGTATTTTCAATTGAAAATTTCAAAACATAACCTATATTTTTTTGCTTCTAAGGTTCCTTTCTTCAGAGCGCGTAACAAATAAATTTTTAATCTCGGATTGCAAGCTTAACCCATTAAGCACGTGAAGTACAAAATTTTCAAAAACGGTTGGATTTGCTTAAGGGGGTAGTCTGGTGTTTAGGCCTTTTTTTAGGAGCTTATTTCAGAATTTATTTTTATTATAAAATAAAATATAATCACACCAAATCTTTTTACATCGTTTTATTCTTATCATGAAGTGTTGAAAAAAATTATAATCGATTATTTTTTACTAGATTTTGTTATTTATATTTAATATTAATGTTTATAACAAAAAAATGCTGGCGTAGATGATTTACAAAAATCTATCCGACCGATTGCTCCAATTTTTTTACAGCTTATTCTACACAAGCATGGCTCTGGCCCGTACTAGAATAAAACATTTTTGTTAATAAATAACAAAATAGCGGACTATATAAGCAAAAAGATTCAAAAATTGTCTCTTTTTTATTGACAAAAAGTTAAAAATAAAAAAAAGTTATCATTAAAATTGCGTAATTCTAGTACGGGCCAGAGCCATGCTTGTGTAGAATAAGCTGTAAAAAAATTGGAGCAATCGGTCGGATAGATTTTTGTAAATCATCTACGCCAGCATTTTTTTGTTATAAAAATTAATATTAAATATAAATAACAAAATCTAGTAAAAAATAATCGATTATAATTTTTTTCAACACTTCATGATAAGAATAAAACGATGTAAAAAGATTTGGTGTGATTATATTTTATTTTATAATAAAAATAAATTCTGAAATAAGCTCCTAAAAAAAGGCCTAAACACCAGACTACCCCCTTAAAAATCGTTACTTGGGGGTTTTTGAGTCGCTGATTACGAATATGACCTTGGTTTTCAAAAATACAAAATGGTGGATCCAATATGATATCATACAGGCATCACAGTTAGTCCCCTTTTTTGTCGTTCTGTCCCCTTTTTCACCTATTTGTGATTAAAAATAAAGAATTTTTTTTTTAAAAACCCACAACAAAATATCTTGTTGTAAGCTTCCCTTGAGTTTAAACCTAAGATTCGTTAGCTTACAGCGTAAACTTCAGGTGAGGTTAATGTGAGCTGCAAATGTCCTCTCTACCGTAAGCTGCAGTGTAAGATTGTGGTTAGCTTACAGTTAAGCTTGCTATAACCTTACTGTAAGCTTCCCGTAAACTTACTGTAAGGTTCTGTTGATGATCGCAAATGATTGTGTTTGACGTATAGGTAATAGAACCGATGATAGGCTAGTTTGTGTAGCACTGTAGCGTTTTGTAAAGAAATTGTATATAGTATAAGCTTTTGTCTAATAAATTCATGTGCAGTGAAACCTATTTTTAAAGTGTTTTATTATAATTCTCACGTGCCAAAATATTACGCATAATTACACAGCCCCACAAAAAAAAGTGTCATGTACTTTTGACAGGAACACCGTAACCCTATGTATTTTGACGCGCTGAACACGAATCCGAAGTCCGTTTTGCCCCATCACGTCAGGATTTTTTTCTAACCTCAAAAAACATGTCGGATTTTGAGAAGAAGGCGATTTTTTTAAAAATTGATGTATTAACTTCAAACTTGGTATCTGGGGGTTTTTGTGTCGCTAATTACGAATCTGAAGTTAGATTTTAAAAATCCAAAATAACGGATCCAATATGGCGGACGAATTTTGAAAAAATTTTAAGATTTACTTCAAACTTGGTATCTAGGGGTTTTTTGGGTCGCTGATTACGAATCTGATGTCAGATTTCCGAAATTCGATATGTCTGATTAAATATTAAGAAATTATTTTTAAAAAAATGTCAGATTTTTATGAAATTTGGTATCTACAAGTAGCTTTTCTAAGTTACTGACAAGTAACACTAGGGAAGTGCCATACGCCGATTTTTCTGAAACTTGGCAGTTTTGTAGTTTTTTGAAAACAATTTGACACGTATGTTTTGTTTCTCCCCAAAAGCTGATTTATGGGGAGGAACTACCCCTTGATTTTTTTTTGGGAGAGGGACATTATTTTACGAAATTTTTTAAAAATTAATGTTCAATAGTGTATCTAGGGGTTTTTTGGGTCGCTGATTACGAATCTGATGTCAGATTTCCGAAATTCGATATGTCTGATTAAATATTAAGAAATTATTTTTAAAAAAATGTCAGATTTTTATGAAATTTGGTATCTACTAAGTAGCTTTTCTAAGTTGCTGACAAGTAACACTAGGGAAGTGCCATACGCCGATTTTTCTGAAACTTGGCAGTTTTGTAGTTTTTTGAAAACAATTTGACACGTATGTTTTGTTTCTCCCCAAAAGCTGATTTATGGGGAGGAACTACCCCTTGATTTTTTTTTGGGAGAGGGACATTATTTTACGAAATTTTTTAAAAATTAATGTTCAATAGTGTATCTAGGGTTTTTTTGAGTCCCAGATTACGAATCTGATGTCAGATTTCTTAAATTCGAAATTGCATATCCAACATGGACTTCTATCGGCCATATTAGATAAGCCATTTTCAATTTTTGAAAACTGACATCAGATTCGTAATCAGCTACCCAAAAAACCCCCAGATACACTTTGCACATTAATTTTTAAAAAATTTCGTAAAATAATGTGCCCCTACCAAAAAAAATTCAAGGGATAGTTCCCCACCATAAATCAGCTTTTGGGGAAAAACAAAACATACGTGTCAAATTGTTTTTAAAAAACTACAAAACTGCCAAGTTTCAGAAAAATCGGCGTATGGCACTTCCCTAGTGTTACTTGTCAGCAACTTAGAAAACCTGTAGATACAAAATTTCGTAATAATCTGACAATTTTTTAAAAATAATTCCTTAATATTGAATCAGACATATCGAATTTAGGAAAACTGACATCAGATTCGTAATCAGCGACCCAAAAAACCCCTAGATACCAAGTTTGAAGTAAATCTTAAAAATTTTTCAAAATTCGTCCGCCATATTGGATCCGCCATTTTGGATTTTGAAAATCTAACTTCAGATTCGTGATCAGCGACACAAAAAACCCCCAGATACCAAGTTTGAAGTTAATACATCAATTTTTTAAAAAATCGCCTACTTCTCAAAATCCGACATGTTTTTTGAGGTTAAAAAAAAATCCTGACGTGATGGAGCAAAACGGACTTCGGATTCGTGTTCAGCGCGTCAAAATACATAGGGATAGGGTATTCCGGTCAAAAGTACATGACACTTTTTTTTTTGTGGGGCTGTGTTATTGGTTTGGTGACGTTGTTCAGCTTCCATGCAAGTTTACTGTAAGCTTCATGTAAACTTCCTTTAAGCATATACTACTGTTAATTAATATTAATAAATATTATTTATTAATATTTAACTATTTTTTTCACACCACATGATATATATCTTCCTATATTACAAAAAGATATCGCCGCCTCCGCCGTTTCAAGAGTTCTTGACCTAGGAGGGGGGGTCCCCCCTCCTAAATTTTGAGGTTATGTTCGTTTCAAGGCTCTGAATTTAGCCGCAAGTCCCCCTCCCTCCTCTCATTTCCCCTCCTCCGTCAAAAATGACCTAAATTTTGAGGTTATGTCCGTTTCAAGACTCTGAATATAGCCTCAAGTCCCCTCCCCTCCCCCGCCAGAAATGACCTAAATTTTGAGGTTATGTTCGTTTCAAGGCTCTGAATATAGCCGCAAGTCCCCCCTCCCTCCTCTCATTTCCCCTCCTCCGCCAAAAATTGACCTAAATTTTGAGGTTATGTTTGTTTTAAGTCCCTAATAAAGCAGTAAGTCCTCCCCCCTTCCCTCATCTCTCTCTGTATTTCCCGCCAAAAATAGGGGGGTTGGCGCGCGAAGCGCGCAGGGGGGCGTAGCCCCTCTAGTATATATATATATATTGTGATGTAGGATATGCAACCCTAACGGGAATAGTTGATTAAAATCTACTGCCCAGCCTTAAAAGCTATAATAAACTGCTGCGCATAAATAATTGTTTAATTTGTTTATTAACATTTATTAAAAATAATTTAAGCTGACACGAAACTTACAGGAAGTTTACAGTAAGGTTATAGTAAGCTTAAATGTAAGCTGACTACAAAAAAATCAAGAAGTAGTCGTGAAAGAATTATTTAATGGATTGGATAAACTACGAGTTAAGGAAAGCGAAAAAAGAAAACTTGTGGACAAACTTCAAACCCTAATACGACAAAAAATTCATATATAATACAAAAAATCATAAAAAAAGAGGAAAGTTAAAGAACATAACCTATATTTTTTTGCTTCTAAGGTTCCTTTCTTCAGAGCGCGTCACAAATAAATTTTTAATCTCGGATTGCAAGCTTAACCCATTAAGCACGTGAAGTACAAAATTTTCAAAAATGGTTGGATTTGCTTAAAAATCGTTACTTGGGGGTTTTTGAGTCGCTGATTACGAACATGACCTTGGTTTTCAAAAATACAAAATGGTGGATCCAATATGATATCATACAGGCATCACAGTTAGTCCCCTTTTTTGGCGTTCTGTCCCCTTTTTCACCTATTTGTGATTAAAAATAAAGAAATTTTTTTTTAAAAACATATTCTATACTCCTATACTCTTTTGCTTTGTGATGTACACTGTAAAAAATTAGGGAGTTAACTGCACTGAGACTTGGGAGTTAAATTTTTCGAGTTAAAAATCAACTCAAAAAGGGAGTTAATAATTAAATTAACTCCTTAAAACTAACTCCCAAGGCATGAAATTAACTCCTAAAGCTTTAACTCCCTTCGCTTCAACTCTAAAAGGGTGGAACTAACTTTTCTAGCATCCCCTAAGGAGTTGAAATGCAACTTATTTTTTTTTCAGTGTAAATATTTTATTTAAAAACATTTTTAATATGTATTAAAGTTATTTTTTACCAAAAACAAAAAAAAACTGTAGTAAATTTCAGTATTAAAACATTGTTAATGACATTTAACACATTTTAACTTATTAATTGCTATATTTTTTGTCCCCTTTTTCAGGAAAAAAAGTCCTCTTTTCACCTTTTTTGAGGTCAAAAGGTACTGTGATGCCTGTAATCATTATGATATCTAATATGATATCCGAGTTTTAAAAAACTATTTAAAAAAATTTTTTTATTGTGACATCAGATTTCCCATTAGTGAAACTAAATACTCTTCACGTAATATCTTTCAGGTTACAATGAACTTATTAAAATATGAGAGATATTACTCGAAGAATAATAGTTTCACTGATGGAAAATCAGATGTCAAATTAAAAAAAAAAAAATTTTAATCACGGAAACAAGAAGACTAGAACCAGGAGGGGAAACTCCGTTGTAAAGATGCGACGTGAAAAACAAGCCACTAGAAGGCGTGGCTTATCGTTCGTGCTTTGCTATTCAGACGAATTTGAGTGTTCTGCGCATACTTTCTTGACACTGATATTTGAAATGTAGCAGACGCTGTTTTTAAGTTTCTGTTTATGCGGTTATGGCAAATGGTTTACCCATAAATTTTTTGATGCGATTATATTTAATTAATTATATTTAACTAGCAAAATTAAACGCGCGCAAGCGCGCCAAATTGAGTGTTTAATTGTTTGTTATAAAGAAATTAAAGATTAATATTAACGACTTTTTCTGACTTTTTTCAAAAATAAGACTTTTATCGACTTCTTTTAATAAAATGTGACATTTTTTTTACATTTGAAAAAAAATGTAAATAAAATACATTTTTCTAGTATAAAATGTAGATCTTCATCATATCTTCTTCAATTAAATTATTTAACAAATTTTAAACTAAAATGATTCTTCACTACATTAATTATTTTTAATAATTTTAATGAAATACATCACAAATTCAATTATATCAAAATTATTTTTCAATTAAAATTTTTATGAAATTTAACAATTGTTTATAATTTAAAAAAAAAATATCACAATAAAATTTAATTATTTTTTAAAAATTTCAATTCAAAATAAACTAAAATTCAATTATTACCCAAAATTTTAATTCAAAATCAATTAAAAATCCAATAATTATCCAAAATTTTCAATTTAAAATTTAATTATTTACCAAGTTTTCAATTTAAAATGAAATAAAATTCAATTATTTTCTAAAATTTCTATTCAAAATTAATTAACCAAATTTTCAATCAAAAATGAACTTAAATTAAATTATTATCCAAAATTTCAATTAAAATTTAATTATTTACCAAGTTTTCAATTTAAAATGAAATAAAGTTCAATTATTTTCTAAAATTTCTATTCAAAATTAATTATCCAAATTTTCAATCAAAAATGAACTTCAATTAAATTATTATCCAAAATTTCAATTAAAATTCAATTATTTCCCAAAAATTTTCAATTTAAAATCAAATATAATTTCATTATTCTCAAAAATTGGAATTCAAAATTAATTGAATTTTCAATAATTTGAATTTAAAAGCATCTAAAATTTTATTATTTCTAAAATTTTCCATCGAAATTTTTTTTTTTGAAATTTAATAATTTCAATTATAACTCTAAGGAAATTCAATTATTTTTAACTATTTTAATAATATTCTTTGAAAATTCAACTATCTGAAACCATTTTTCAAATTATTGTATTTTGTCCGCATTTTCTAATAAATTTTTAGTGAAATCATCTAAAATTTTAATTACAAAACACTTAAAGTTTCAATTAATTTCAAAAATCTCAATTTTAAATCTTTGAAAATTCAATTAAATTTAAAAAATGTTTTCCAAAAATTGTTTGATAAATTATTTTCAGTTCTGGAAAATTTAATAATTGTTTGAAAATTAACAATATCTTTGAAATTTAATTATTTCTAAAAATTTCAATTTTAACCCTTCGAAAAGGATTATTATTAAAAAAAAAAAAAAATTTTATTTAAAAATCTGTAAAATATTTTTGTTAAAATAAAAAACAAATCCACTTTTTTTGGAATATAAATCGACTAAAACGACTTTTTTGTGTCTTTAAGTTGATTCGAGGCCTGTGTTTTTATAATTAATATTTAATAGGTATTCGTTGGCCCCTGGTACCTTAAAAATTAATTTTTAAAAATAAATGTTTTTCAAATTACTATCTTATACGAAATTTCCTGGCGCATCTTTTTTCTCATCATACATTTTTTGTACAATTTTTGAATCAATATACAACTTTAAAAAGAATTTCGTTGGTAAACGTTGTGTACTTCAGCTTTGTGAATTGAATTTTCGAATTTGGAATTTTAAAGAAACTTATTCCGAAATTTGGAAACACAATTATACAACTTTGGCAAAAATAAGAAAAAGAATTGTCAAAATTTGACACGTCATAAGATTACTATTCAAAAAAACACGTGAAATCAGAAAAGGCCAACTTCAAGTTAGGACAGAAGGACAGACCAAGCATTTTATTATTATATAATTTACCTAACCAAGCAGACGCAAACATTTGCAGCTGCTTGCTACGAAATTTCCCCTTCAAAACCTACAAGGTTAGTATGCGCAGAATTCGTAAATTCGTTCTATTAGCAGTACACGAACTTAAACGACACGCCCACCGTGTGCACGTTTACCATGCCACTACTCACTGCGGTAAAGCGTGGAAGTTTCACCTCCTGGTTCTAGTCTTCTTGCATGGAAATCATATTAGATATATTGTAACCACCATTTTGTATTTTTGAATACCTAGGTCATATTCGTAATCAGCGACTCCAGAAACCCCCGAGTAACGATTTTTAAGCGAATCTAACCATTTTTGAAAATTTTGTACTTACCGTCCTTTATGGGTTAAGTTTGCAATCGGAGTTTAAAAATTTATTTAAACTTTTTAAACTTATCAGGACCATCTTCCACTATCTTTTTATTTTTCATTGCTAAATTTTATATACTTTATTTATTGTTCTGAGAAATCATTTGTATGAATTTTGAAAGTTTTTAATATCTTCAAAGAGTATAATTTTTAATTGGTTAAAAAGAATATCTTTTATTATATTTCAAACATTTTTCTTCTTAAAAAGGTTATTTCTAGGACTCATAGGACAAGAAATGTTATTTTTTAAGACCTTTTTATTTCTCGTTGCTTATCACTCTATATTCTTATACATCCAAGTCGTAGAAATAACCTTTTTAATGAAAAAAATTTTTAAATACATATAATAAATCAAAAACGAAGCAAAACACATTTGTAAAGTTTTAATCATAAATAAATTACATCACTATTAAAATATATACAAAATTTCAGATTTTTAGAAGGTGCCATAAAAGATATAAGCTTCCAAAAATTATGACATTTTTCCAAGTAAAAACTTTTTGAATTCTTTTAATATCTCAAAATAATATATTTTTATATTTTAACCATAATTTATAATTAAGTAAATATTGTAAAAAGATAAATTTCCATATAAGAAATACTAATCTTTAATAAACTTTTATAAACTTTTTACAGGATTTAATAAAATTTAGTATCACTTAATAACACAGCCACACAAAAATAAAAAAGTGTCTTGATCGGGGGTCGAGACATATGTATTCCTACGTATTTTGATGCGCTGAATCCGAATCCGCCATCAAAATTTGGCCAAAGGTCCTGGTTTTGCTCTAACCTAAAAAAATACCTTAAAATCGCTAAAATGGTCTCTTTTGATTGATCAAAATTGAACCCAACCACATATTGATAACTTTCTAAGGTCTTTTAATTGAAATAAACTATTCTACAAGCTTTCCAAGTGAAAATTTATATAAAACATCAAATCTATCGATTCTAACCTCAAAAATACATCTAAGTTTCCAAACAAACAAATTATAAACCATACATAGCGCAAAAAATTAGGTAAACTCATAAAAGTTACTACTTAGGTCTTTTTGTGGTTGCTGATTACGGACCCTATGTCAAGTTTCAAAAAATCAAAATGGCGGATCCAATATGGCGGGCAAAATCCTAAAATTGGACCTAAGTTGGTAAAATTTGTTACTCGGGGTTTTTTGGGGTCGCTGATTATGAATCCGATGACCATTTCTAAAAATTCAAAATGGCGGATCCAATTGCTGTTAAGTACTGGACACATAATAAATACAATCGGCTTGAAATTAATTACTAGAAATTTCTAGAGGTCACCATTAAAATTTTAATTTCAGATTCGTAATTAGCGACCCCAAAAACCCCCGAGTAACGATTTTCAATTTAATCTGAACAAATTAAAAAAAATTAGCCGCCATATTGGATCCGCCATTTTGAATTTTTAGAAATGGTCATCGGATTCGTAATCAACGACCCCAAAAACCCCCGAGTAACAAATTTTACCAACTTAGGTCCAATTTTAGGATTTTGCCCGCCATACTGGATCCGCCATTTTGATTTTTTGAAACTTGACATCGGGTCCGTAATCAGCAACCACAAAAAGACCTAAGTAGTAACTAACTTTTATGAGTTTACCTAATTTTTTGCGCTATGTATGGTATAATTTGTTTATTTAGAAGCTTAGTTGTATTTTAAGGTATTTTTTGAGGTTAAAACCTGGACCCATTGGCCAAATTCTGATGGCGAATTCGGATTCAGCGCATTAAAATACATGGGAATACATATGACTCAACCCCAGATCAAGACACTTTTTTATTTTTGTGTGGCTCTGTAATGAATCAAATACGTTCTCCCAATTTTATTATAACTCTTGTAAATTTTATAAAAGTTACAAAATAACGAAGTGAACATACAAGTTTTTGGTAATAATAATATTAAAAAAAAATTACACCATACATTACCCCGTTTATTAAAATTGGATGATATATAAGATGAGCAGTAAAAATATGGCTAATGTATGTGACATTGCCTTACATGAGAGGGTTCGAATTTCCAAAAAAGGGCGTTACGTATTTTTTGAACAGCCTCTTTGAAGTGAATCGATAATGTCGTTTTTAAATGTCAGTCAATCATCGATTCCAGCTCCATAAAGTTGACTTCCTGTAGAAGCTTCGATGTCTTCAGCACCTTTTTTTCGTTCACGAAATTATAAAATCATTGTAAATTGTTTTTGAAATAAAAGTATTTTATACACGGAAAGAAATTTTCTGTAGAATTTACAGAAACTCCTGCGCCATCTACTGATGTTTCTCCAAATAGAGAGATTTGTAGAATCATTGGCATTAAAATCTGTTAATTCTACAAGTTTGAGCTACAGTTCTTAAAAACTGTTGAGTGACCAAATTATGTATAGTATATAGGGATAATATATATTTGGTAGAGTATTTCTTATAGGTTATATTCTCCTCCGAATACATTAAATTCGCGGAACATTATTGTATAAATTAGTATAACTTCTATGTAAATAAATTCATCCT